GCAATTATTCATACCGTCACTTCTTTTGCCGGCTTATATATACAAAAATAGAGGGTGTTGGGCAAACCCCCGAGCCTTCATGATCCTTCTAGAATCTCATGACGTGTTACTAGCGTCACTTGACTTCCGCTGTCGTAACAGTATGTTGGTAAGTTAGATCATCAAGGTAGCTTAAATCTTTAAACAACAGAATACATAGATACGAAGAGAACTAGATTTATTGCTCTTAAAAAGTTTGATAGGAATTAACACAGAACTGTTGTAATGTATTAGTCATGTTTAAAAGTTCCAAGTTTTATGACTGTTGTAATGCATTAGTTGTATTTAGCAGTTCTGTGTTCTCTGATTGTTTCAATGTAATAGTTATGTTTAACAATTCGTATACCCTGATTGTTCTAATGTATTAGTTATGTTTAACAATTCCGAGTTCTCTCATTGTTATAATATAATAGTTATGTTTAATAATTCCGAGTTCTCTGATTGTTGTAATGTAATATTTATGTTTAATAATTCCGAGTTCTCTGAGTGTTGTAATGTAATAGTTATGTTTAATAATTCCGAGTTTTCTGAGTGTTGTAATGTAATAGTTATGTTTAATAATTCCGAGTTCTCTGAGTGTTGTAATGTAATAGTTATGTTTAACAATTCAGAGATCTTTGATTGTTGTAATGTGTTAGCTATGTTTAAGAATTCCGAGTTCTTTGATTGTTGTAATGTGTTAGCTATGTTTAACAATTCCGAGTTCTTTGATTGTTGTAATGTGTTAGCTATGCTTAACAATTCCGAGTTCTTTGATTGTTGTAATGTGTTAGCTATGTTTAACAATTCCGAGTTATTTTATTGTTGTAATGTATTAGTTATTTCTAATAATTCCTGTTCTCTGATTGTTGTAATGTATTAGTTATGTTTAACATTTCCGAGTTATTTGATTGTTGTAATGTATTAGTTATGTTTAACATTTTCGAGTTATTTGATTGTTGTAATGTATTAGTTATATTTAACACTTCTAAGTCCTCTGTGATGCGTGTATAATTTTTATAATTTATATAATCGCCTAGCATTAGCTGTACTGATGCTTGGTTTTATTATTTGTTTGTATACACGTTTTGTGTGTGTTTTGTTTTGCGTGTACAATAATTGGGCAAATTTATTACTTAATTAATATTTAAACACTATGATAGATTAGATTTGCTAAAAAACTAAATAAATAAGAAAAACCTTTCTTTACGTCACTACGCTTATGAAGAAAGTACTTCAAAAATTAAGGTCATACCGAAAGAATAGTATGTATTTCTTGTTGCATATCATGTTGAATTATAGTGCGATGTGGTCCACCTAGTGGTCATTTATTGATCTAACTGAGAAAATCTCGAGATAAAAATTATATATATTTAAGCCAAGTGTCGGTTGGTCAGTCAGTCGGTCACGCTCGTTTTATCCGTATTTCTACCTTTTCTCTCATAATACTTCCTCTTTGGATTGCGGTTCCCATTTTAGTTAAATTTAATAGCTAACATAGGTGTAAATAGCTCTTAAGTTTCGGCACTTTTTCTGCTATTTAAAAGCCTGTCAAGGAGGGAGTTCTCAGGGTCAGATCAGGCATGGCGTTATTTTTGTGACACCACATCATCCACATTATTATGACGTCAAACTAGGTAGGATCCGAATAGGAAAGCCGGAAAGACTCCTGTGAAAAATAAATAAATAATTAGCGCAAATCTATGGTTGAAAATTATTACGAAAAAGTATTTGTTAAAACAGACTGAAGATACCAATTATCTGTAGGGAAGAGGACGACTTTTCCTTAGAAGAAGAACAGATGTGTATGCAAACATATGGTCATCGTATGTTTTAATGTTTTATCCAAAGCCACCAATGTGTATCATATTTGCTGAGTCATATGGAGTGGATTTAAGAGAAATATGTAGCATGTTCCTTGAAAAGGAAATTTTATATTTATTTTGTGTGTTGCCAGTTTTATACGGAATAGTTTTGGTTTCCTGTTATTTTTGACGGGCTTTTACGGTAGTGTTTTATAATTACGAACTACCTGTAGAGAAATGATGGTTATGTAGATCTTGTAAACTTAGTTTTTCACCATTATTAGCACATAATATAATCGTCAAAATATTGGTTTTGGACTATGTTGCTAAGGCGTGAAATATGAAACTAAAGAAGTTCTCTCATATCAAGATACAGTAAAATATTTCTTTAACGCGTACTTTTTGTGTGCAGAGCCTATTATTTTAAATCGTGGTAAAGATAACATTCTACAAACATCAAACTATAATAAATGTAAGCATTGATTGGTTATTTTAATTTTTGGCTGCTTGCTTTAGACTCGTATCAGACTACGTTTAATAAATGTGTAAGATTAGAGACTAATGTTTGAAAAAATAAGTGAAACTTTAGATTTTCAAGCATATATTATTTAAATTAGTAACGTATATTTTTGCGCTAATTAAATATCTTGGAGAAGATAAGTCTCTTTCTTAAGTTTTGTAGTTCGTGAAAAGAATTTGACGTTTCTATTCCTTGAAATTTATATAGTAAGATAATGACAGTATTGTGGTTCTCATTTCTATTCGTAAGTAACCTGTTTGTTTTAAGTTTTTGTGTTTCGTGCGAACAACCTTTAATAACATGCTACTTGTTCTATCATATTATTATTCAGCATTTTAGTCTTTAGATCACAATCTGATTGGAGGAACTCTGACGTATCTACACGTAATTAAACGTGCGTGTAAAATCGGCCCTAGAAACAGCATTCTGCATGGTCTACTCTCGTTATTAGTGTTGCTAGCGTCAGCTAAGCCTAGACGAAACTGAGGTCTTTGTCTGCTTGTGAACGTAGGAACTAACCTAACTCAATCCGGTATTTCCTTTACAAAATCATTTTCTTGTACACGATGTTATTTTCCACTCCTATACATCGGTAGAAGAAACATCTATGTTTATAAAAAGTTAGGACTAACGCGACTTCGTCTAACATTGCTAAACTTATGATGCGAGGTCTTTCATCTAGTTCTTTAATACGACAGTTTATATCGGATAATAAATATTCTGTGAAGTTTGTTCAAAGTTTTAGACTCACTAGTTTTCCTTTGCCATCGACAAAGGGAAAGTTTCAACTTGAAAAGCCCCATATATTATTTCTATTTCTTTCCGTGTACACCATTTACTGTTCAAAGAGTTAAAGAACGACATTTCCAGAAAGATTGTATAGATCAGTGAAAAGTCAAAAGACGCTTTACTTGTGTTTAGAGGATTGTAAATAGGGTAAGTATAACATAGTGTTATGTCTCTGGTCGTTTGTTAATTTCCCGTAAAAATTCTTTCCGAAGAACTTCAGCGATACAAGTTCTTTCTTAAATAAAACTAGTTTATTTTTTCTCAATACAACTTTGCAATACACTTAATT